ATCTTGTAATAATTTTTCAAATTAGTTAATGCATCATAAACATTTCTAAATGTATAGTATTTAAAACTGTTGATAGGGAGAAATATTTTGCAGTTTTACTGTGTAGCAAAAACATTATTTGCATACATTTTCCCATTTTTTAGAAAGCCAACATAGACATGCCTTTGAATAATTTACAAAAAATATATCAACATGCATGACATGAGGTCAGTACTGGTATTTAATGGCATTGTGTAGCTCACTGTGCCCATATTAAATATGTTTATTTAATTACTTGTTCTTCACCCAGAAGAGAAATGGGACTTGACAACTGCTTTTTTCTTGATTTTTAAATGCAACAGTATAAAATCAAATAGAATAGTTCTAAATGAGTAGAATAAAAGAAGTCCAAAGTTCATGCTTTCATATGTAAACATGATTGCATTTGTAACATTTAAATCATTGAACAGATAAGTTATAGGTTATGATTGGCTAGGTTTAGGCCCCAAGCTATGTCAGAAAGCAGTGCATCATAAGGTATATGCGAGATAGTAATGTGAGTTTGAAGTTCAGCATGTCTTTTTGAAAATGTTTATTTTTTACTAGTGCTTCTTGTGTTTATTTTTTATTTACAATAGCTTGGATTCAAATATGACAGACACCCAGACCCTTTATTGTAAGTTCTTAACTGATTCAAAGTCTTATCCTGTATAAGAGATATTGTTTGAAGCATGTATGGAGTCTTATGAAGGATGGATGGATGATCGAAGTAAAATTTCTATTTGCAGTAGGATGCAATTATTTCGTAATCTAAATTAATTTTTCTTTTATAATTATAGAAAAATTTAGGTTTTCAACCTTAATGAAAACAACTGTGATAGTAATGGATATAATATATGACCCTAACTTGTTCATCAACACCTACCTAAACATTTGGATTGGTTAAGTCAAGTAGTCTATAAAGACATTAAAGCCAGGATTAATTTATGGATGATTTATGCAGAGGTTTGTTTAAAATTGGCCAGATGCTGATTAAATTCAAGATACACATACCTTTCAATAGGTAAGTTAGGTATCTGAGGAATGCTGGCCATTGTATATAGACCTATAATAAGTTTACCATGTGGACATAATTTGTTTACAAAATGATATGGATTATATGTAGATTTAAGAATTTACAAGTGCTCAAATATAAACTTTTGAGAGGTTTGGTATAAACATCTGACAGTTTTTACATTTTCTATAAGTTGCACCAATGCAAAAATTGTCATATTTCGCAAATTATATTTTTTTCTAATTTTCACCTCTTTAGTAGGAGCATGCCCCTCATGCAACTTGCATGTTATAAGTATATAAAAACAAATTATCGTATTTTGCAAATTAAACGTTGTTTATTTTTCACCTTATCCAGGAAGTGCATGCCCCTCATCCACCTTACATCTTATGACATAACACTTATATATGTCTTGTTACAGCTAATTTAAATGTATAATTTTTGAAGGCTACAGAATAACCAAACACCTTAATCGAAAACCTATTAAAAGGTGTTAAACGTACTGAACAATGGAAAAATAATACCTTTAAGATTGACAATAGCGTCTTACCTTGACTTGATTGTCTGGTAATATCCTCACCGATGTGAGAAAGGGGAGGATTTTTTTGGTGGTTCAATCAATAACATAACATTAATCTCAGTCAAGTCTGTCCAATATACAATTATCTTTTCCATAAGTTACTTTTAATAGAATTAAATGACTCCACAGGTATATTGATTCATACAACTTATCTGTACTGTATTTTTTTTTTATATAAGGCGGATAAAATTAGTGGATTTCAAAAGCTTTGACCTGAAAATATTCTCAAGGTCGACAGACTGAAAGAATGCAAGGTAGTCGACCTTCGATCCATTAGTGACAGGTCCATGGTTAGATCCTTGGGGCTGGAACTCCTTCGTTTTTAAAAGCAATTATTGAAAAAAAAAAAGCATTGCACCTAATGAATATAACGCAAAAACAATGAGCTGGTGTATAGGTCCACACATCTTTTGATACTATGCAGCCTCAAATCAAAGATGGCTGCTGTGTCGAGAAAAAGTTCGATAGATAACTTACAAATAAAAGGCATTGTTAATGGTAAGAAGATGCCAAAATAATGTTATTATAAGGATTATCATAAATTCGAAATGCAAACAGCTTAAAAATACACGGACGTGAAATTCGTGAAGGTTTCCCATTGAATGACTATGTTGGTGTCTCTTGCGCCAAATTTTAAAATTAGTGTCAACAACAGGCATTTAAAATCTTTGTTAGTCAATTTCGGATCACTTGGTCTGATATCTTATTCACTTTCAATTTGACAGTTCAACACCTACACTCTGTCATACTTAGGAATATGAATGTGTTCATATTTTGGATGGTTGTTACGTCTATATGTTAGACAATTTCGGATCACGTAGCCTGGTATCTCAAGTTTTCACTTTCAATTTGTCTGTTGACACCCTGTCATAAGTCAGTATTTTAATTTACTACTTTTAATAATGTAAATTTATTTCACACACTATCATTGACCAAATATAAAATTCCAAATGTACTTTTATACTTGAATTGTTATATAACAAGTTTGAATTGTTATAGAGCAGAAGACCAAACGGCTGGATGTTCCCTTTCTATTGCAAAACTTGCTTTACAATAATCATGAGTTTAAATTGCTGGGATTTCCATACATGTATGCAATTATCAGTAATTACAAAAATAATTTGAATGTTGACTTTAAGATACAATTATTAAAAAGGTACCAATTATATAGGTCTTTAGATATTAAAAAAAAGAAATACATTGTAGACTTACTTAGGGAGCTACCATTTGATTTTTATGGGGGGGGGGGGGGGGGGGCTAGGATTAGTTGATCCTGACTTTTTATACATAATTTGTCATCCTGCCTTTTTTTTTTTACTCAGAACTTCTGTCCTGCCTTTTATTTTCAAATTTCATCCTAGCCCCCCCCCCCCCCCCCCCCATAAAAATCAAATGGTAGCTCCCTTATTTATAAAGTTTTGCACAAGTTCAAATCATCTGAGGATCTATAACTGACAATCTTTTTTGTTATTATGGTCGTAACTATTCGGATGTTTTATGAAATCTTTTTAATTATTTGACAGGATTATTAAGACAAGATCTAGCCTGGTCATATCTGTAGGAATCACTGAACCTTGGATATCTGTGCAACATAACTAACATGACTAACTTCAAAAAAAGATAATTCGAAGATTATAGCCAGATATCATATTGCAATCATCATTACAGGCCTGGCTTCTTATCAACTGACAGTCCATTGAACGATCTAACATTTGTATATTAAAGAAGGCATTTTAATGGCAGTGATTTTAGCTCCTGATGTCAGATAAAACATATCCTGTAGCTTTGTTTCTGCTTCCCAGTAATTAGGAAAAGCTTACAGCTTGTTACCTTATTTCTCAAGTGTTAATTTAACCTAGAATATTTTGACCTATGTATGTTATAGTTTATAATAGCGTATTTTTTCTTGGAAGAAAATGTATTTACTGTCAACAATAAAAGGTTAATTTAGTATAGGGTATTACAATTTGGCAGCATTTTTCTGAATACTTTTACGCTCTCTATGATCATTTAGAATTAGGTTAGATTAGAACTCCGTATGGTGTCTTTGTTAATTTGTCATCGTTTACCACTTGTATACTCTTAAGCTCTGAATCCTCGGTCGTTTTTGTCTCTACTTGACGGAGTCAAAAAGAGAGACATAAGTATGCTGTTTCCGGTATCGGCGGCGGCGGCGTCAACAATGTATTAGTTTGTGATTGGGTCTAGTTTATTGTGAACCACAAGTGGTAGGTCAATGATATTTGGTATGCAGTTGTATAAACATTGGCACATCTCATTTTCATAGAGATTATTTGGCCCTGCCCCCTCAATCATGGTCTATAGACTGAAACTTTTGCTTAGTTTACATGTATTACATTTGTGATTAGATCAGTTTATGGGGAACCACTAGTGGTAGGTCAATGATATTTGGTATGTAGTTGTATAAGCATTGGCATATCTCATTTTCATGGCGAATATTTGGCCCCGCCCCTCAGTCATGGTCTATTGACTTTGAAACTTTTGCTAAGTATACATCTATTAGTTTGTGATTAGATCAGTTTAAGATGAACTGCTAATGTTAAGTCAATGATATTTGGTAAGCAAATGTATTGGCATTTGCAAGTATCGTTTCTATGGAGATTATATAGCCCCACCCCTCATCATGATTCACTGACTTTGTAGCTTTTAAATAGTTTACAAGTTAATGTTTGTGTTTAGGTTTGTTTAAAGGGAACGACTTATAATAAGTCAATTGTATTTGGCATGCAGTTGTATAAGCATTGGCATATCTCATTTCCATGGAGATTGTGTAGCCATGTACCTTCAGTCATGGTTCATCGAGTTTGAATATTTGCATAACTTGCATGTTAAAGTATTGCTATTTTAATTTCAACATTTGTATTGTCAAAATTACAAAGAGGCGAGACATCTCTCTGTGATAACAGTTTATTGGCTGTTATTTTTTGTCATCTTTAAGTTAGTTTTATTGTAAGTGTCGGATTTCCACACATGCTGGCCTCCAGTGCCACCAGAGAGAGATTCGTTGTCAAAATGCGCATATGGCATAACAAAATTGAAACTGAATAATATTGTTTCATGTATGTGTTTGAATGGAATACTTATCAATAAAACTGAATATATCGGTTCTCATTTACACTTTTTTTTTTTTTTTTTTGGTCTATCCTTAAAAATAAAGTGAATTAGGAAAGAAATGGTCAATAAGGCAGAGCAGCAATTCAAAAAGTTACACACATTTAGATGACCAGTTGAACATCCAGTAGGTACATTTGTATAAACCATAGAACAAATTCATAATCTATAGACGGTACTAGTATACAATTTGGATAGTCTTGTGTACAGTTGCAATCTGAAACAACATCTATGACAACATTTTATTTTACTTACTGATCCATTGCCAGTTTTCATGTTCTCTTTAGGTACATTCTGTTCAGTGTCTTGTTCTACCTCAACGTTTGGAGGTGTTTCAATAGACTCTATTATTTCTTCTGGTTGACTTGGATTTACATCATTATTGTCAGCTAATGTAGAAGATGGGCTCTCCGTAATGTTATTTGCCTCTTCACCGTTTGCAGTTACTTCCTGAGGTACTGATTGAGTTTGAATATCGTTTTCAGGAAGTTTTGTATCGTCGTCCATATCATTTTGTAAATCCGGCGAAAATTCCATAGAATTAGACTCTGATGTCTCAGTTTTGAGGTTGCTGTCAGAATCCACAGACTGAGAGGGTGAAACACCGGGTCCATTCATCACTGAGTGGTCACAGTTTATCACTTGTTTCTCGAAATTTTTCTCAGCTTTATTATCATCCACTTTGTCTGATAGAAACTTTTCTGTCTCAGGAGAATTCATTTCTTCGATTTTCTCCTTTTCTTCGGCCATGGTTTCTCCTAACGAATACTCTACTCCTAGAAAAATATATGTATATTTACTTCTTTATGTCAAATCAGTTAATTTTTTGTTTAAAAAAGAATCTTGTCTTGCTTAGAATTGATTGAAATACTAGATTTTCGAATATTCCTTATCCAATTCTCTATAACTGCTTTGAATTATTTCTGTAAACAAAAAGACACAACTTACGCCACCATCTTTTGTTATGTGATCAATGGTAAGATTGTTACACTCCAGCTAATCTATTATTTTGTCCAAAAGAAAAAAATGTCGCTCGGATGATACTTCAATAGTAATTTAACAATACGGGTACATAGAGTATCATGTCAAACTTACTTTAAAATATATCGTCTGTGTGCAACTTTGACAAAAGATCCAAATAGTTCTTGTTAATATAATAAGAGAATGACATGCGTGGAGCGTAATTGTGGCAAATATCATGACAAAATTGTATTTAACAGATCAATTTTGTAATTGTATGCATCAAACAAAGGGAATGGATCTCAGCTCATTTTACGTTTTCAATGTTTACATTGTTTTCATTTCAAATTTTGTAGCTGATCGTGATGAATTTAAATATTATTGATGCCCAAAGCATTTTTTGATACGAGTTGCATAATCAGAGATGTGACACAAAAAAGTAAGTGAAAGAAGGTCGATCGACGCTGTGCACTAATGTTGCAAATCATAGACCTATAAATGACTGAAAGCATCGATTAAGTCTGCCTTTAGGACTGTGGTGTTTTATTATTATTGCTCTCAACTCCATATTTCCTTAAATTTAACTGAAAAACATTTTGCATTTAATTAATTGGTATCTGAAATATTGATGATTTGATCACGATGACCTAAAGCATGATCTAAATGGACCTTGATATTTACAGTTTTATCGATTGCAGAAGGCAGGCGACCTTGTATTTGTGATAACTGACTTCAAAAAGATCAGCATGTGAGAACAAATAGAAAATAAGTTCACAGGAATAGCAAAATACAGAGATGCACGCTCATGAAATGCGCACATACTTAGGTAATTTCATTCCAATTAAATTTTGGTTAATTTTATTGCCATTATATGTATAGTGTCCGTTTAACATTCTATCCTATACAATAAATCTGCGTTAAAAGAGGTTGGAACAAATCTATACCAGGAGGAACGACAATATCATTTTTTCCCGACCGACCACCCAATAATGTAATTGTTACTGTAAGTAATTCATGAAGGTAAAAAAACCTCCTTATTGATGATCTTTTCCCTCTTTTTACAGAGCGTTTTTATTTCAATACTCTATTGGAAAGTTGTATTCAAATCCAGTTGACACTGGAAAAATTCTTAAAGAGTGTACTCTTTCAGCATGGAATCAACAGATCTCCTACTGCAATCATATCATAATATTTGATACTTCTATTCTCTTTTGGACCGGTTATCATTTAATGCAAACAGCAAACTTGTTTCCATCTTTATACATGTGAACCAACATTTAGATATAGAATCTGGTTTTAAAACCTGGTTCCTTTTCTGGTGTATTTAATCGTACAGTTAGTTATATCATTGGAATGTATAACGAAAAGACATTATCCCGATCCGCACTTTAAGCATGTATATTGAATATCTAAAATGACTGATCTTTGACATTTACTTGATAGAATGTGTTTTAGGAAACCACAGACCTGACAACCTGTTCCGTTTATTTATCAGAAATGATCAGAAAATACTTGCTGTACTACACAACGGTAGAAAAGTTTTCTACTTGCACACGTTCCTCATTTGCAGATAGACTCTGACTTTGCAAAAGACAGGCGAAAGATATCAATGGTCGAAAATATACTGGCAAAAAACGAAAAAGACAAAAATACAAACAACAGTGTAGAAAACAACATAAAAAACTAAAGACTGAGCAACACGACCCCCACCAAAAACCGGTGGTGATCTCAGGTGCTCCGAAAGGGTAAACAGATCCTACTCCACATGTGGCACCCGTCGAGTTGCTCTGGTGATAAGTCTAATTCGGTAGAAAACTGAAAAAATTTAGGTCACATTCTGCAAGCTGCGAGGTTAGTTTTCTTAAATAACTATATGTCGCGCCAACATGGAAACATTGCCCATGATTTATCTAACCAATGATTTAGTCTCGTACTCAAATTTATGTTTTTTCAATAACTTTTTTTTTTTTATTATGTTGAGAGAGATGATAGCATTGATTAGAACTACTGAACACCAGCTTGTAAATAGTACAATACCGAAGCGACAATTATAAACGGGAAATTATCGGAACTAAATAAGACAAGACCGACACAAACAAAACACTTAATTCAGAGATTAAAAATAACCCCAAAAAATAATGAAGTTCTTTGCCCATGTAAACAACAAATAAATTTGGACAAGGATACCAATCAATGAATAAAACGAGGTGTTGGGTGTAAGTCTACATATGCGATATCAACCCGATAAAAGTCTGTATATTACCCTGACTGACAAGTTTATAAATGAATATAGCCATGTCAAGGAAGTAACAGTGTTATTTAACAAAATAATTCAATATCATTAAAACATAAAAACAGTATACGAAGTAAACACGGGACCAGTACGCTCAAAAAAGGAAAATTCACTACAAGGAAATTGAAATCGTGTTTTGTTCAACAATCAATAGGTAAACATTAGCTTTATATGTGACATCATGTAAAGGTTTAAAAGGAATTGTTCACCGAAGAAGCAAAATAAGATCGTTATTACACAGATAAAAAGAATTTTAGATATAAGCAAAACTTAATCAGTCATTTTGCAACTGTATAAGGGTGTTTCACAAAGAATTAACAATCATAACAGTTGATTATCAAGTTCAATAAAAAGGTTACTGTCAGTCATTGTACGTCTATTACATTGCTATGTCCCTTTAATAATGTGAAATAAGGGGTTAAGTATGATATCTGTAACCGATTTAGGATATGTAAGACTCGTCATTGGATAAAATAGCAAATGGTAATAGCAAATAGCAATAGTAGAAAGATAATTGTATATTTATACTAAGTGGAAAAAGATCACCTGAATGCCGAAAGCAGTACTGACAGTGCTTTTTCCTCAAGTTATAAATAAGTGAAATAAACAATATGAAAAAATCGGGTGTTATTTGTTTTGCACATGTTATAAGAATCTATAATGGGAGATTGACACACACCATCATCAGGGTGAGGATAAATGTGACCTCAATTGCTCACTCAATAAATAAAACAGAAATAAAATGCAGCACTTATCTCGTTGACTATAGGTATTACAACCGTTACGATAACACATGTTACGCAATGTATCATGTTTGGCAGTTGTTAAGTTAATTATAGAGATACAAAACATTTCGTTTCGTTTCCAAAACAAACAAACAAAAAATCAACAATGAGATGTTTTGTACGTTTTTCTGGTTACCAAAGTAACAATGATAAAACCAAAAAGATGAAAAACGTTCCAACTGATATTTAACATTTCAGTGAAAATGAAATATAATGATATTGAACGCAGTAGTCGATACAAATAAAAGATATAATCACGGTAAACATGCAATCACTTTTATGTACAATAATATCCCTTGGGAGAGTGCAATTTCTTTAAAACGCTTTAGAAATGTGCCAATAATTTATGTCGATTTTTTTTTCTAGGAGAAAGAGGAGTATGTTTTTCTTTTGCAATGCATATATTATTTTGTAAATACAAATAAACCTATTTTACATTATGGTGTTGTAAGGATACTATATCTTACTTGGAGAAAACATATAAACACATGTCGCACTCCTCAGTTTTATCAAAATACAAGACAATAACTACATTCAGTATATCCCTACTCAGAAACGGAATAATTCATTAACTTAATTTGTGATAAGATATATCATCTGGGTTGCGTTCAATATCGTAGCGGCTACATAGGGCTACGTAGATTTATGACTATTGAACGTGTAGCTATAGCCTAGCTGCTATATAGATATTGATAGCAGCTAGGCTAGCTACTCGTTCAATAGTCATAAATCTACGTAGCACTACGTAGCCGCTACGATATTGAACGCAACCCTGTTGTTTAACATGTTTAATGAAGGCAGTCTCAATCTACTATTGCAATTAAATGTGTCGAAAAAAATACTCACTGTTGGAAGTCTTAAAAATTTGGCATTTGTCTCCAAGGCTACCATGCATACCACATCTCCTTATTATACTTTAAAAATCTTAAAGCACTGATATCATGTCATAAATTATAACACTTTTCCCTCGGGTAACTGAAATTGTACTTATCGTTAAATTGCCTCGCAGAAAACATTACAGCAGGTGCATATTCATTGATAAAATGAGAACATCCATACATCCATACATACATTCATACACATAAGCAGATGGAACAGATTTCCTGGTAAATTTTCTTATCTGTTATTCAACTACAGTACCAGGAATATTTGGTAAAATGATCACACATTTCACTTGTTTTCATACAAGAAAGTTAATACGAATAAATATTGTTCCTAAATCTTTGTGTGATGTAGACCTATAACTGGAAATAAACATTAATTCAGTTTACAATTGAATGATCATTTAAAAATGTTTTTGACATGCTTACATTAGAAATATAGTTAGTGCGCCACTCACCTCAGTTACTTTCCATCCGCCTGGTAGTTAAATGTCTGATAGTAAGGATGTTCAATCATCAACAGATATCACATTTCATAAATCGCTTTGCTTCCGTTTTGTTGCATAATTTAGGTGCACTGCTAATTGCCAAATTTTAAATGTTTTACAACGTCTAACAAAAAATTAAAATCAATTGTTCGATTTCACTATTATGAAAAACAACTTTGATGATAGAGAGAACTTTGTTTTAAAAAGTTTTGTATTGTTAAATTCCTCTGACAAGATTGTGTATTATCAAGATTAGCTGTTACCATCAACAGGATTGTGTCGCACTTTGGGCGATTACAGCATTTTAGCGGATACTATTTTTTATTCTTGTTTTATCTAGAACGTAGATATGCGATAGCCGTAGAATACCACTGAGTCCCTTTCAGGACAAAAAAATATTCCTATCAATACTTATCCTATGTCAATATGGAGATCACTTCTATAATACTGGTACTCTTGAAGCTCGAGGCTTTTTCCGTGTTTAGTAAATAACGAAGAATGCGATACTTTCTCATTCCAGGCTTGAAGAACAGACAGAATGGAGATATAGTCACCAATCATGCGTTGTAATACTAGATAACGAGTTCCAGGTGTGAAAGATTTAAATCAAATTTGAAATGCATTTACCATGCAGAATTTTTACTTTCATGTTCATCTTATTTGTTGATTAATTGATTGTTGTTTGACTAAGTTAAACCACCAGTGCAAAATATTTTATAAATACTAGTATATAGGGCGACAGCTATAGTCCTCAGTCAGTGGTCAGAGAGCATGTCACTCTCCTTACGAGATGTATCGGATTGAAATAAATGATTCTGATCGGATATTACTGCGTATTTCTGGCACTATATGGTGGGAGAGTACAGCCGACCCTGTCTTTATACCCTAACCAAGCATTTTGATCTTGAGTTTCTCCTCGAATAAAAAAAAAGGAAATTCAATTAAGAAAAAAATCCTTTCATTCATTGCAGTGTATTAGTGTTTGAGCAAATGATAAAAAATCCTTACATTCCAGTGCTTTAAAAATGAAAAACTGATAGTATAGAAATACTTTAAACACATTTGTGTGCAACGAAAGATAACCTATTGAAAACGAGGAATATTTGAAGAAGCCAAGTTATCTCCATTGATTGTGTATTTTGAGAACTTCAGAAAAATAATGATATTAAAGAAAAAATGCTATAAAGACGAAATTAAAGATTATTTCAGTATTGGTAAACGATTCAAGAGTCGTATTTTTAATGGCGGTATTTTCGGGAAGGTATTTGGGATAATCTGGGCCTTTGACTCAGAGGTACAAAGACTTTGGAATATGTAGCCATAAACTATATCATTATTTACTCAAATCATTTGAAGTATACCTAATATTAATTAATTTATTTAAAGGTACATGGTTATCGATTAATGATACAAAAAGTAGAGTTAAGTGCTTTTCCTGTACTGGTTTTTATTGTATGTTATTTAATGTAATTTTTGTTAATCTGATCGAGATTAAAAAGTGGGAGGGTTGAGATCTCATAACATAGTTTAACCTCGTCACATTTCATATGCCTATCTCTTGTCAGGAACCTCTTCAGTAGTTATTCGTATCTAATGTCTTAATGTTTTCCGTTACATGTATTTGTACAATGCGTGTTAACGGCAGATCTTTGGTTGTTGCTGTGAATATTATTCACAAAGTTTTATAGACTCGGGTTGATTTATAGATTGATATATCATTTAGACACCTGTGTATTGTTGAAGACTGTGGTCGATGGGTTGCTGTCTCAATGACATATACCCCTCATCTTCTTTAATTCATAATATGAAATCTTCTCTCAATTTCAGGTGTGATCTCTTTTATCGTATTTTTGAAGAGAAGACTCTCCAACGACTGCCAAGAAGAAGAATAGCAATACTATCGCATTCATAATCAATTAATCATGTTACATCAATTTCTTTCTTATAGTAATCTTCAATATACATCTTAGCTATTAAAAAATCTAGAGAGGATCGCTCAACCAGATTTGTATCCGAATAGTTTCATTTTGAAACTTCTACTTATTTTACCAGTTACAGCAGTTTGTAGTGACAGTTATTTTTTAGTCTTTATAGATGATTTATACCTTGGGAATGTTTTCAGTAATTTTTTAAACATCTAAAATTTACTATGGCCACATTTTGGGAACTCTCGTATCATGCTTAAATAAATCAAGAGGCGTGCACTTTCCCGATAATTACCTTTATTTAATAGGTTGAATAATTTGATGAAAGTGTGGATTTTTATATTTTCAGATAAATATATATTGTCATACATGTGTCACGATGACTTAGTTTTGAAACTTCGAAAATAAATATTAACTTTTGTATTTGTTTTTAAACGTTTCTGCTAATCGGAAATCAGAAAAGCAAACAAAGAAAATCCCTTTCATAACACTAATTAATATTCTTATTCTGAAAATTATTTCTGTATTTTGTAAATTGAAACATGACACAAACGTTATGGCAGACATAGGAACACTGAGATTACTGTTTTTAGCAGCAAACCTGTTTTTCTGGGTAAGATCGATATCAAAACATAGAATTTTAGATGAATATAAAATAAGAATTTTGTCAAATTGTTCAAAAATGTATTTATCTATGTATATTTTTGTATTTAGTTTATTGGCGGAGGACTTCTTGGGTTTGTAGGATGGACTCTGAGTACATTGCCAAATACATCAGGATTTATGTCCGGTAGTTTTGTGAGTATTATAAAGTAAGATCGTAATTCCATTTCATTATAATAAAAATTTCCTTTTTGGAAAAAAATATTTTATCTGTTACAAATTGCATCCAAACCCAGGATCCTGAAATAAATTTAAACGAAGATTGTTGAAAATTTTCATTTGAACTAGCTCAAATTACAATAACTGTCTTATATGTGAATGGTTTGCTTAATTGTTCTGATCAGACGTTTTTGATTTTTACTGATAAAAAAGTTTCCATATCTCTTTAAGTTTCCTTGATTTTTTCACGGTGAAAGTTGATCCGCATAGAAAAGCGACTCGACACATGCAATACAGTTGATTTATCTATTAGCTTTTTATTCATTTTATACTTGCTTCTTCATGATACTAATAAGTTTAAAAGTTGCTTTTACACATACGGAATTATAGTAAATATTTAAAAAAAATTAAGATAAATAAATAAAAAAATGCATGTATGTGAATACCCTCATAGATAGAACAAATTATATATGTAGGACTCTAAAGTGCGATGGGGACGCTAAAGTACGATGTCACGCTAAAGTGCGATGGTCTGCGCTAAAGTGCGACGCCTCCATACGCTAAAGTCCGATGGTCGCTAAAATAAAGGTACATGTTTTCATGCGTAAATTATAAATTGTCGGCTAAAACATTAGTTTGTACATTGTAGGAAAATATGACATGTATTTGTACTCGCTTTATACGAAAAAGGAGAAAGCTGGGAGAACATCGCATTTCTCTCTCATTTAAATGAAATCTTAAACAAATAAATGTTATACATATTCCGACAATGAACGAATTTTGTATTTATTATTTACAATGACGACTTTAAGGGGAGGTGTTCACATTATTGAGAGACTGTGTGAACGGCAAGCTACACAAATAATCCAAATATTTAATACGCTTGAATTGTTAAAAAATCATTTACAGGAAATATAGTATTTTGTGACACCTAAATTACTTTTTTTAGCAATTATTACGTGGTCTGTCTTTTAAATTTAGAAACAATCACTTAAGCCTACCGGTAAATTATAAAGCCTATCAAATATGTTATATCTTAGCATACTAATTTGGACAAAGACTATTATGTACTTTAACGTTTTAAGCCCTCTAACCTTACCCTTTTGGTCCATCGCACTTTAGCGTGATATACCATCGTACTTTAGCAAACAAACAACCATCGCACTTTAGCGTTAGACACCATCGTACTTTAGCGTAGACCATCGCACTTTAGCGTGACCATCGTACTTTAGAGTACCACCGCACTTTAGAGTCCTATATGTATAAATAGAATAAAGGCATAAACTTTATGTAAAGACCCTCAAGCAACCATCGAGATGAAAACCAGCTTTTACAGTAAAATGTTGTTTTGTTTTTAATATATGATCGATTACTTCCTATAGTATTTGTTTCCTCAAATCGCCAGCCGCCTCTTAACGTAAATGACATTTGCGTGATTGTTTACAGTCATTAATGAACTAAACGTTACGGTTTATACTTGGATGTAGTCATCCTCTGAATGTAGTGTAAAGAAAACGCCCATACATTGCCTTTCTCCTTTGAAAATATGAGTATAATACAATATTAAAAAAGTTATTTATTATCAAAACCAAATCTTTTTTCGCGACATTCCAGTGTAGAAAAAATATATCGGTAGTCGTGAATACGTCAAACATGCATGGATTTTCTCTATTCTAGACGAATAATACTTTTAGTTGAATTTTCTTAATGTTTTTCTTTTTGACAATGGTGTTGTCTGTCTTTCTCCGATTTATGTTTTTGATTGCCTACCCGTCTCGTATCATCTTACTATTTTGTTTTGAAAAGAAATATAGGATAAATGTACAAAACTCAGAAAAAACACTAAAATTAAACATCGCTTTTATTGCGGGTTTTCCATCCTGACAGTAACTTAAAGTTCGTCAACGACTAGCTAAAGAATGTAGACCCTGGAAAAAATTTTGAAAGATCCAAAAGGTCCTAGCGTCGACTAACGTTGTATATACCATTTTATATTTACCTATAAATGTTACTTGTATTCTAAAGGTACATAACTGGCACATTTTAGTATGAATTAAAAAACCCAATGGGCAGTAGTTGTGTATGTTTTAAACAAAATTAACTCATGTAGCTTACTTTATATCAAAAATCAATGCAACAGTTTTCTATATTATAGTATAAGTAACTAGTATACAGTAATATAACATTCGAATATAGATAAGTGTTATAGTGAATATACAAGCCTCCAAATCATAGGTACTTGGGGACAGGACACTTTTTTTTAGCCCTCCCCCTTTTTTTTCCAAAATCCGTTATTTTGTTTTTGTTTTCTATTAATTTCAATTATTTTCGCGTTTTGCTGTATTATACGAACATAAATATACTACAAATAACTTGTATTTGCTATTTACTATCAATTCTCAGTTTAATATCCACAGTGGTCACTGATATATTATATAGAGAATATATCAGTGACCAAGTACCTATGCTTCAAATAATTATTACTTTGACCTTTGTTCGTATGCCCATTTTGAACTAAAAATATGTTGATAAGGAATTTATTTATAACTCTTTTTCTAGAATATAACAATGCTGTTTTATTTCAGTTAGTACTATATGCCGGTATAGCCATTGGAATCCTTATATCTCTTGGTGGTAAGTGGAAAACCAGTACTTTTAAAATATTCAAGATAATCATAAGGAAAAACAGATTTAAGAAAATGTGTTAAATGATATGTGCATGCATCAAAAATTAAAAATAAATCCTCAAATAGTACTCAAGTTATTCTATACATACATTTATAATCTTCCCAAGTAATCATTTTTTTCTCTCATTTTTTCACGCTCCCTTATCAGTAACAAGGAGAACAGGGACCATAGTAGACCAACGTTGTACCAGAACTATTTATTCCAGTTATGCCGCTTCGTCCAAGAACAACTTTTGAACGTCGACTAGAAGCATTTCAACAAAATTGCTAAAAACATTTTGCACAATGATAGTATTGACATAAATTTTTTTCAAGAAATATAGATAGCAATGAGAGACACGTGAGAAAACCATGAAAATCAACATCTAAATACAGATTCAACGGAAAACGTTCATTAGAAATTTTAAAGTGCGGGAGGAGGGGAGTAAAAACAAGTGCTGGATATCAAACCTGCGATAATGCACTTTTGTTTAAACATTTTAGTTGAATAAATGTAGATACGATTATTGAAACGTTATACTCCTATGCTTTCATACTAACTATTGCAGGACTTATAGGATGTCTTGGAGGAATGTTTGGAAGCATGCTGTTATTGAAAGTGGTTAGTTTACATTATTTATAAGGAAATTGTAAAAAGGAATGAAATATATATGGACTAGTTTCGGAAGAATGAGAAGTCGAAGATTATTTAGACAACATTTTTAACAGATGTTACGATTATTAAATTCTATGTATATATACATATAGCTTAGTTGGTCGGGTGGTCTTGCCACGATGTCACAAAAGCAAGGGTTCGAATCCTGCTCAATATATTCTAATTTCAGAATTTTGTTCAATCATATTTAAGAAAATGAAACAACGATTTTTTTTATTTATTTTCAGTAATAGTTCAGGTTATATGCCCAATCCTACAAAAATCTGTAACACCACTCATTTACTGTTCACAGATCTTAACACTTTGTTCACAAGGGAAAAGACACTCGAAAATCATTTTGTCATCTACATACAACATGCTTAAAATGAAAATAAAAAATATAAACAAAACAATATCAATATAAAACAACAACGAGAGACCTATATAACCCATGCCTGGTAACACATTTTCTAACTTTTTATACTGCACATTCTGTAATAATTTCAAATATCTTTATACGGACGCATTTACATTTTTTTTTAAATCCATGAAAAGTAAGGAAGTAAGTATATGAACCCGTCTTACAGAAGGATGAACAGCTTCAGTTCCAATTTCTCATGTGGCGGACTACTCACACCTGAAGTTGATTGTCCATTTTATTGGTAAAGCATTTATAACATCTATTTGTTTTACCATATTTACTCACTAATCAAAATAGCATATAAATATTAACATTTTCTTTACATTCCAGTACCTTGGACTTTCAATGACCTTTGGAATCATAGAGATTATTCTGATTATCGTAGTTTACATGCAAAAAGATGAGGTATGGTTCTTAATTTAGTAATGTATGTATAGCGACTTGCAGATTACTAACTTGATTGTATTAAGAATGTTCAGAAATTCAAAGACCATGCAACAACTTAAAATGAGGCAGATATACTTCAGAAACATAGTTAAGATTAAAACCATCATAATATAACGGTAACCGTCAATCTCATTCATCGATATACTTCAGAAACATAGTTATAAGATTAAAACCATCATAATATAACGGTAACCGTCAATCTCATTCATCGATATACTTCAGAAACATAGTTAAGATTAAAACCATCATAATATAACGGTAACCGTCAATCTCATTCATCGATAAACTTCAGAAACATAGTTAAGATTAAGACCATCATAATATATCGGTCGCCGTTGCGACATAATTTGGGGTAGCGTGTCTTGCTCTGTCATCTTCCTATAGAGATTTATCTTGTCAGGTCCATCTCGGTGCACTTACTTGGTTACGTCAGTTCGATTGTATATGAGCAATTAATTTTATATATTTGATTAATCGCGTTAACTGCTAGTTTCATTTTATATTTTAAAGCTTGACATATGGTATAATCATGTGTTAACAGCTGAAAACTTTTTTGCTACCCTCTATTTGTCTTTTCTGTTGTTTGTTCTCGTGTTTTTTTGTACACCACACATCCCTTTTTATTCCTGATAAATTGATCTCCTTGTACTAATAAGTTGGACAGTCTATGTATTAACAAATTTGCTATCTTTAGTGTCATTTATGGTGATATGTTTGTGGTATCGTTGATATCCAAAAAAGTAGAAATTTATTTTCTTCGTGAAATATAAACAATGTAAGATTAAGAGAGAGAGACAGAGAGAGAAATACACACACATTTCCTCGCATATTATTTTGTAATTTTGATTTCATCTTTAGGACATCAATCGAGTATAAAAGTTGTTTTCCGTGTTTCAGAGTTTACCTGGTAATAGTTGAAGCAGGCCGCTTTGCAACATAAATCAAAATATTTGGTCTTCCAGCATCACTGTAGAGACATTACTTTACGAAATTCGTATATGGTGAAGTAAAATGTGTACCGTCAATGTAACTTTTACAACTGGGTGACGTCGATACATCTGCTGGCGGGCTGTTAGTTACCGAGGGTATCACCAGCCCAGTAGCCAGTACTTCAGCTCTGGCATGAAAATACGGATATTATTTTTCTTAAATTTCCTGTGATGAAAATTTTGTAAGCCATTTTGAAATAATGGAATACATCTCCATCATGCAAAGCTCTGTAACACTGTCTGTGTATGGATTTACTATTGTTTCTTTTAGGTTTTATCATCTCTTGAACGTTTGTATTTAGTTTGAGATTTTAAAAATATTCTGGCTTAGAGCATACAACTGGTACCGTTAATGTTATGACAAATTGTGTAAAATAAAATCCTATCTAAAGATGTAAATGCTAGTTTGTAAATGTTTGAAAGATTCTCTATCAAACTTTGAATGAAATCAATAACCGATAAAACGGGAATGCCATCCATATTTTGCTAAAAGACATTATTTATAAAAAATTTTTTAGGTAAAATAATGGCGGATGGCTAATAAATGATAAAGGGAAACAAATAGCACCTTCGAATCAAATAAAACAATAACGGTACACGGGTATAAAACAGTTATACTGGCATCTCCAAATTGTGCTATTAGGAGCCATATTTGTCTATTCACTTGTATGGAGTTGAATATTTGCAAATTGGAAATATAAGCAACTTTTGAAATGACGGAAATGAAGCACTTGATATGATATCCTCTGAAAAGTATACATATGAAAGATTTGTGTGAAAAAGTAATATGATAAAAATGCTAATAGGGTTTTTCATTGTTAACATTTAGATACCTTCCATATTAGAAGCCACATGGAATGAAGTGAACGATGAAGCAAGATACACAATACAGACTGGTGTAAGTTGGTACTACAGTTTTCAAATGGTCTTGTCGATATTCATGAGACAACCTTAATTCTTTCAGTTTTGCAAATATCTTATTTTGATATTAATTTTCAAGCTTATATCAGTTGTTTTAAAGCATTCTGAGGTATAAATCTAGTCTACTAAATTCATTTCTTATGCTATATGTTTCATTAAATATTGTAAATGGTAAATTGACTGATTTATCCGGTAACAATTCTACGTTTCTTATTTCTTCATTTTTGTTGTGGATTTAAACTTAAAGTGTATGTTGGGAAATGTAAAAAAAAAAAAAAAATAAATAAGGAAAATACGAAGATTACATTTTAAATAGTTATAGTTCTTTTCAGTTGAAATGTTGTGGAATAAAAAGTTACAGTGAATATGGCACTGACTATACAAGCTTTCCAGACAGCTGCTTCAAAGTATCAGAGATATTTGGAACAGTTTCTGCAAAACAAGAATCAACACTCTATACCGTAAGTATGAATCAATACTCTATACCGTAAGTATGAATCAACACTCTATACCGTAAGTATGAATCAACTCTCTATACCGTAAGTATGAATGAAAATTCTATACCGTAAGTATGAATCAACACTCTATACCGTAAGTATGAATCAACATTATATACCGTAAGTATGAATCAACACTCTATACCGTAAGTATGAATCAACACCCTATACAGTAAGTATGAATCAACATTCTATACTGTAAGTATGAATCAACACTCTATACCGTAAGTATGAATCAACTCTTTATACCTACCGTAAGTATGAATCAACACTCTATGCCGTAAGTATGAATCAACACTCTATACCGTAAGTATGAATCAACTCTCTATACCATTAGTATGAATCAACATTCTATACCGTAAGTATGAATCAACACTCTACACCGTAAGTATGAATCAACTCTTTATACCTACCTTTAATATGAATCAACACTCTATACCGTAAGTATGAATCAACTCTCTATACCGTTAGTATGAATCAACACTCTATACCGTAAGTATGAATCAACTCTCTATACCGTAAGTATTAGTCAACACTCTATACCGTAAGTATGAATCAACACTCTATACCGTAAGTATGAATCAACACTCTATACCGTAAGTATGAATCAACACTCTATACCGTAAGTATGAATCAACTCTTTATACCTACCGTAAGTATGAATCAACACTCTATGCCGTAAGTATGAATCAACACTCTATACCGTAAGTATGAATCAACACTCTATACCGTAAGTATGAATCAACACCCTATACAGTAAGTATGAATCAACACTCTATACCGTAAGTATGAATCAACACTCTATACCGTAAGTATGAATCAACACTCTATACCGTAAGTTTGAATCAACACTCTATACCGTAAGTATGAATCAACACTCTATGCCGTATGTAATGAATCAACACTCTATACCGTAAGTATGAATCAACACTCTATACCGTTAGTATGAATCAACACTCTATACCGTAAGTATGAATCAACACTCTATACAGTAAGTATGAATCAACTCTTTATACCTACCGTAAGTATGAATCAACACTCTATGCCGTAAGTATGAAACAACACTCTATACCGTAAGTATGAATCAACTCTCTATACCGTTAGTATGAATCAACACTCTATACCGTAAGTATGAATCAACACTCTATACCGTAAGTATGAATCAACACTCTATACCGTAAGTATGAATCAACACTCTATATCGTAAGTATGAATCAACTCTTTATACCTACCGTAGGTATGAATCAACACTCCATGCCGTAAGTATGAATCAACACTCTATACCGTAAGTATGAATCAACTCTCTATACCGTTAGTATTAATCAACACTCTATACCGTAAGTATGAATCAACACTCTATACCGTAAGTATGAATCAACACTCTATACCGTAAGTATGAATCAACTCTTTATACCTACCGTAAGTATGAATCAACACTGTATGCCGTAAGTATGAATCAACACTCTATACCGTAAGTATGAATCAACTCTCTATACCGTAAGTATGAATCAACACTCTATACCGTAAGTATGAATCAACTCTCTATACCGTAAGTATGAATCAACATTGTTTACTGTAAGTAAGAATCAACACTCTATACCGTAAGTATGAATCAACATTCTTTGCCGTAAGTATGAATCAACATTGTTTACTGTAAATAAGACTCAAATCTTTTTGATTCAAGTATGAATCAGCACCCTTTACTTAAAATATAAAATTAAGAAGATGTGGTATGATTACCAATGAGACAACTCTCCACCAGAGACCAAATGACATAGAAGTTAACAACTATAGGTCACCGTACGGCCTTCAACAATTAGCAAAACCCATACCGCATAGTCAGCTATAAAAGGCCCGAAATGACAAAGTAAAACAATTCAAACAAAAAACTAACGGCCTGATTTATGTACAAAACAATTAACGAAAAACAAATATGATATATAGCAACAAACGACAACCACTGAATTACAGGTTCCTGACTTGTGACAGACACATACAGAATGTGTATATGAATCAACACCATTTACTTCAAGTATGGGTCAGCACCTTTTACTTCAAGTATGAATCAACACCTTTTACTTCAAGTATGAATCAACACCTTTTAATTCAATTATGAATCAGCATCTTTTACGTTTTTTCGTTTGAATTATTATTTTGAGGACTCTCAGGAAGATTAATTTTCACTAATGGGATTATCCTCTTGAAATAAAGATTATTTATTTATTTTATTTTATTTATTTACTTAAGTATGTATAAACACTCTATACTATAAGTATGAAAGTACCACGTTTAACTAGAAGTATAAAACAACATTTTGCATTTTACTATATTTTCAAATCAGCACGCATTACTGTAAGTAACCGCCAAAGACTTTAAAATTGGTATTTGCTGCTTCACCGCTAAGCACGCGGCATTAAGGAGTAAGAGCAAAGACTGGTCGGCTCGGAGTCAGAATAATGTGTCCGGGTAAGGTGACATATCTTCCTGTGGACTGTTACCTTGTGAGCTAGCACGTTAAAATCCGGCTCAGCGTGTCGGTCTAGTACAAAGCAGGGTAAATATTCATAATACACCTACATGTTCTCGTCCTAAATATGCATATTAATTTTTCGCTGGACGTTAAGCAACCATCCATCATCATCATTACTGTAAGTATGAATCAAAAACTTGCATATACTCAAGTAGTAATCAACTCTTATTTGCAAGTAAGAATCTTTACTGTAAATATCTTAACGCTAAATACATACTTATTAAAAAAATGTTTTTACTTTATAATGCTTTAAGCAAGAACCTTGTTGACTGCTGTACCCCAATTTTTGAAATTTTTACCTATTATGTCTGTTTGTTTTGCTCACATATTGTTGTCAATATAATGAAATTATACGCGACTGTCATACAAATGAGAGGTTTAGCTAGCTATAAGACCAGGCTTTATCCACCATTTTCTACATAAGGAAATGCCTGTACAAAGTCAGGAATATGACAGTTGTTTTCTATTTGTTTGATGTGTTTGAGCTTTTGATTTTACCATTTGATAAGGGACTTTCCGTTTTGAATTTTCTTAAATTTCGATATTATTGTTATTTTCTTTTTTATATGTACTATATATTTTTGTCCTGTTGTCATACTTTAATTGTCTTATTTCAAGATGAAAAATAACATTTCATAAATTATACGAGTCCGAACCGCTTTTCTTGATTTACATTCACCGGGAACGTTCAAACCCATATATTTGAAAGTCAGAATATACAAATACATATAAACATTAGGAGGTTAAAATACTACAGTGCAAATTAACATAAAATTTACTGCAATCTATTTTGTTTAACCACGTATCTTTCTTCTTGATTTAATCGATTGAATTTATATTTTAATTCTAAAATTTGTACTTTTTCATTAGATTTTGTGTTGAGAGTAAATATTTACATTAATTTTTAGATATCGTGTTTATCTGCAATCCAAACATGGCTGACAGACAATATGGCAATATGGATCGCTGTCCTCGTTGGCATCGCTCTAGTACAGGTAATTATATAAATCACTACACACTTTGTAAACAGACAAAACCTTATTTATTGACTAATATATTTATTGTAATGAATCGACTCGAAAAATATTTCCATAATGTAATAATTCATATAAAAATTCTGGAACTAAATTTAAGTTTTTAAAGTAAATATTATAGCGAAAAACTACGTTTTATAGAGAATAAACTTCATTTGCAGGAATACTTGTTACTGTGACATCAAGTGTGCTTTAGTCCCCTTTGGTATCGTTAATATGAACAACAGTAGTTTACTGATGTTTATTATTTTAATCAATCAAAATATACAAATCAAGTGCAAACAACTGAGGGAATTGCTCTAGCTCCAATAGAAGTGAGACCGCGTATATATGTAGACAGGGTAATCGTCTGCTGATATGCAGGCATCACCCGTCATGCAAATTAGGAATCAGTCAAAACGTCACGATACGGTTTATAAGACAATCTATAGATTCACCGACCAGACGACTATTTATGGTATCTTAAGATTCAAGACTGCGAAAGCATGTCTCATGCGAGTTGAGACACCAACACATCGTATCGGTCAACCAATTCGTGTTGGTGACCACAAAACTCGTGTAGTGTATGTTTTAGTCGTTCGTCCTCAAAACCCTGATGAAGCAGATTTTCATTATTTGCACACCCCTGTTAATGACGTCTAGATATTGTAAACATGCATTTACGTTACGTTTCAATTGAGATATAAGAACGCTATACGATGGGACTGAAGACATGTTACTACTGAGAAATTGGAAGTTGACAATGTAGAATCTAAAATCGTCACGCTTGTCAGAGATCCTAGTTTAAATTGCTTTGAAGATACCAAAAAGAGAGACAAAAGATACCAAAGGGACATTAACACTCATAAGTCGAAAACAAACTGACAATGTCATGGCAAAAACGAAAAACGACGAAACGACTAACAACAGTACACAAATCACAACATAGATAACTTAAGACTTAGCAACAAAAACTCCACTAAAAACCGGGGGCGATCTCAGGCAAGTGCGCGGGAAGGGTAAACAGATGCTGCTCCACTAGTGGCACCTGTCGTGTTGCTCATGAAAGTATAAACCCAGTGATAAGTCTAATTCGGTAGGTTACATTCGAGGAACAAAGGACGGGATCTTGGTAACGACAATTGGAGCATATCCGTCGTCATCTGGGAAACATATATTCCATAACGGTCTTACAACTGACAAGTTATGTAACATTTTCGGACAAAGTCATCATAGATTATCATAGATACCAGGCTTATAATTTTGAATTGGCATACTCTTCTTGTTTAATGTAATTAAGTTCAATATTATAAAAATTGTTTTATTGGTTAGTGATATGGCAATAAACCCCATATAACCGACATTCTCTTACTCCAAACTATGCCAAAAAGTAACAAACTACACATTCTTTTTAGTATATTGTAACAATTCTCATTCACGGAACAGCAAGTTTTTATATGTGTTCCGGCACTGTCCCCCCACTCATGATTTCATTATTAGCGTAATTGGTCCGAGTACACAGTTATTTCGTAGTGCATTTCTTTTAGACAATAAATGAAAATTAAAAAATCCCACCTGCGCTTTCTCAATAATATTTTTACAGTGTGTTGTACTACTTTTGGGACAAATTATATCAAAATTATAGAAAACTTCATCGGCTCTAACTCAAAATATGGACAATTTTATGTTAAGGGGGTCTTGAAATCTTTTGACAGCTTCCGAAGTGCTAATTTTTAACCTTTTTCAGCTGGACCAAATCACTACTTTACTTTAAAATTCATGACCCAAATTTTTTTACAGTGTAATTTCATCCCCCTACTTGCTATTTGAGGCATAAAATATAGAGAAATAAATTTGGAAGGGGTATAAAAAAAACTGGCAAGTAACACACTGTCCACACTAGGGACTATATTTGGGACAACGAAAATCAAAGGACGATAACTGTGTACTCGGACCAATTAAGATTGGCTAAATTTTGTAAAAATAAAAGAAACTTAAATAGTTGAAATTTAAGCCAGACGTGAACAAAACCATGTCATGCCATGAAACATTGCGATCAATCTTTTAAAAGACAACAGTTTAATGGTTATCACAATTTAAAGGCAATATATATAAAGTAGTTGATTGATTATAATTTGTACTCGGTTTAAACCAGTACCTATTGCGTGCGAGTACACAATTCTTACTATAGGAAACATTGTACAAATATCGTTTTATCGTACAACAAATGAGTATAATTTATTGATATATGCTCAAAATTAAAATGTGGGATAGTATGATGTTCGTGATGAAACAGTTACCATCACACACTATACGAAGGGAATGTAACATGATGTCATAATAATTCAGACTATAGTCTATTAAACATGGCTTGAGAAAACAAATTAGTTTGTTTTATTGATGAATGATGTGACCGACGTTAAAGTATCTAAAAGCTCAATCTTTAGTTTGCTATGTTGTATTTTTATACTTGTTTTTTTAGTTTTTTTTCTTTTGTTTGCCATGTCGTTGTCAATTTATTTTCGACTTATGAGTTTGGATGTCCCTTTGGTATCTTTCAAAATTTTAAAAGATAACACATTCTTCATAATTTATATTGAAAATGACTATCGTAGTTCAAAATTTGAAATAATGAATGTAATTGTTTAAAAATCGTATGTTGACTTATATATGGTTTTTTTTCTTGTGTATTTTGGTTGCATCCTCATTCACGTTTACCTTGCATCTCACCAGACGACAGTGAGCATGTTAGATCTATGCTAGAATTTATATGTTTTGTTTGGTAAATTGAACAATTGATACACTGTAACAATAAACTTTTTGATGGTGGCAACCGGAAAACATGTATATAATAATGGCGTCAGTTATTCTTCCTACTAACCTTGCTGAAAATAAACTCATCATAGATACCAGGATTGAAATTTTGTATTTGCGCCAGACGCTGAATTATTGTTAACGTTTAGAGCATAGCTCTGTTCGTGAGATCGAGCCATAATGAAAACATTTTCTTATTTATTGCTTGAACCGAGATAAGTAAAAGACAAATGCTTTGGGAGATAATGTAGCAAGCCTTATACAACTGGGATAATTAAGCGAAATAGGGTTTGGCACATGGTATAGCAAGCATAACATAACTGATACAAGTAGAGATATATAGGCTTTGTCAGATGGTATAGCAAGCTTACACAACTTAGATATTATCGGTTTACGGCATAAAGGCTTTGGCAGCTGTTACAACAAGCTTAACAGAAGCGTATGAGAATGCCAATATTTTCAGATCTACTATTATGTTTTGTTGTTTAAACGCATTGTCATCTTTGCACGAAATCACAAAAAGAGATAGAAGATAACTAATATGCATGAAATTTGTTAATTCACAGACCGGTACAAGTTATCGGTATTTTGGAACCCACCTTCTTTCACCGAGTGATACAAGATTATCTTCAATAATTTATTAGCTTGGTGTTTAACTCACACATTGATATACTTTAACATAACATTATATACTGTCCTCTCTGGCATAAGGCTGCAAATGATGACACTTTATTATGTTAGATCTTTGTTATATGTTTTGCTTATACCAGATTATAATTCCCGAAACTATCTTATAAATACTTTGTATCAGTGTTATGTATAAGACCGTAGCAAGAGTCCATACAATAATGATATAGCAATGAGATAAATCAAAAACGGTGTGCATAACTTCAAAAAAATCGTCAAGGATACCAGGCTTATTATTTTGTACGCCAGACGCGCGTTTCGTCTACAAAAGACTCATCAGTGACGCTCGAATAAAAAAGTTGATTGGCCAAATTCAGTACGAATATACCATCGGGGATGAAACCTCTACCAACAGTGGTATCGAATCAGTGGTTTTAAATAACTCGTTAAAGATACCAAGCTTAAAAAGTTATAGAGTATTACAAATTATAATATGTACAAAATTACAAATTATTCACATTTATATCAAGCTGGTCTGTTTGCATATTGAATAACGGAATGATCAATCAATACTTCGGAAATCATAATTGCTTGGCTAGAGGCATACAAATAGGTAGAAATGGAGCGAAGTTCGTCGGGTTCCTCTGCTCTGATTCTTTTGTGTCGAGTTAGGATAAAGATATCAGATATATACAAGTCATGGCTGTTCACCTTATGATCCAAACTTAATTTGTTTACAGATAGTAAGTGGAATGCTCTCGTGTCAAGTCTTCACTCGTCTCCACGAAAAAGTAAGAATAAGGCCAATGACGGTGGAGAGTCAGGACGATCAAAATCTAGACGATACAAAATCCAACAAAGTAGAACTGAATGATTTGGACTCTACAGAAAACGAAAGAAATATAGATGGCGCTAGTTGTAAATCTACATCTACAATTGAACAAGAGGAAGACCACAAAAGAACAAACGCTGGCATTGTTGCTATAGTAAATTTAGAAACTAAGGACAACATGGAAGATTATATGTCCGATAAGGATATAAATGATAAGGAGTTTGAGTACAAATCTGAACCACAGTTAAATGCTGATGACCTTGAAAAAAGTTTACACGTTAACGAAAAAAGTGCTGATAGTGATGATGAAAATATTCAAGAACTGTATAAAGACAGTACTAAAGAACATTGTCCTTCTCCTGTTGTTAGTAAGGATGAAACTTATCGATCTGGATCTGTCATCACAAATGACTCAAATGACGAATCGAGTCTAGCTAAAACGATTGACAATAATGAAAATTCTTCTGAACGATCAGAGTCTGTTTCATCTAAAAAACATATGTCAGATAGCCGACGACATCTCAATGTTTCTGATGAAAATAATTTTGAACCAGAAGTATAGTCTTTAAAAAACGTAATTACTTAAAGATAAAATACACCAAATAAGATTTGTCATTGAGTGATTGACATTTGTATAATATAAACTATGTAATTGACAAAAAGAACGCTACACTTGAATCAAACAGCTTTCATTTGTATAATCTGGACAAAAAAAAAATTAAAGTTTAACGTTACAGTTCTTTCGTTTATTAAACATGATTAAATATTAGAAAACATGAAAAAAATTTTCAACAATTATATAATCAATAGTTTGATAATTCTTCATGAATGTACAACCATCAGAGCACCATTTATTGGTTACATGTATCATCAATAATATCAACTTATAAATACTATACTAGAATATAAATATATAATATGCCAGGTTATATGGCTTGAACATTGTAGTACAGGATTTTGAAAAAAAACTAGAATCAAAAAGATCACAAGACTGCTAAAATTGAAATCGTTCTTTACAAATTGCTAAATTTTTATATGTCTCCGTAAATATGAAATAAATTTGATTTGATCATGAAGAGATTTTATTCATCACGCTAAATGTCACACACCACTTGACATTTTACTGGATGGAAAATGTTATTGCAGTTAATACATGACAATTTGTTTAGAACGTAGGTTATAATTCAATAAAAAATATTCCCTCTGTAAATGAAGTAAACAATTATCGTCTTTTGATTGGGAATAAGATGATTCACTAGACTCCTTTAAGAGTGATATTCACATCTGCATTAGGAAGTAAGTCAGAATTAGCGACGAACAAACACATGCTAACGGCTTTTGAAAGGTGTGACTGAATTTTACTATTTTTGTTCATTACACTAAGTTGTTATTATATAGCTTTTTTCCAAAAGGATCTTATCGCTTTTCATATAAAAAACGCGCTGTTATCATCATTTTGTGAGAAAAAAATTATATCTTTATATCTTGATCTTGACTGAGATGACATTCCAAGATTTATTAGAAAGTTCCCGTCGAATTTTTTTGAGTATTGTTATCACTATTTATTAAAAATAAATAAGTAAATAAATAAATATTTATATATACATATGATAATTCATTTCAAGAATATAGTTATACAAACGCACCCAAATTGTCAGCCATTAGTTCGGAGTACCATGACCTATCTTCGTATCTACAATATACTAAACTGATGACCAATAAAAATATTGCTTTCAGTATCAGTCCTGTTAAGATAACGGAAACAAGTACTAGAGAGTACCAGTAAAGCATTGGATCACAGTAGTTCATATTGTTAGCTTCATTCACATTCACCTCTGTAACGATGCTAAACACCCATACTGATCCTACAATGATAAATTCATACATTTTACATTCTGTATTTATATTGTAAATAAAAAAAATATAACTTTTGATTAGAAAACTGTAAATTTTTATCATATAAATAACGAAACACACAAATATGTAAATTAGATTTCCGTTGTTGACTCAGTATAGTTAATGTGCTCTGGATTTCGGTTTCTGGTTACCTTTCCAGCATAGTCAAAATGTAGTTTCGTATCTTCTAACCGTTTTATGTCTGTGTGAAATTATTTTTTAAGGATTAAAAATTTATTCCACATTGACATGTTTGGTTTGATGAATATTATTACTGCGGTTTATTGTGCTTTACGTACCTGTAATGGTCCAGAAAGCAACAAGAACACTGGATATCTTGCTCAATGTTTGCAACGGAGAACATGCATTAGAAGAAGCATCTTCCCGCTTTGTTTGTTTACATAATTTTCCAGTTTCAAATAAACTACGAACACACATCGCAGATCCATGCACAATAAGAAATATCGGCAAAACTGGTTGGCATTGACAAGTTCCTATGCGTAAAAAACCTGAAAAAATAATAAGTGTTAATGAGTGTTTAATGTCTTTTTTTATCTTTTGCAATTAATGGCAAATCTATAGTATTGAATTTGAAACCTTTATTTTAGACCCAATTCCTTATTTAATCTACTACCAAGGTGTGTTTAACGACCTTGACTACCCATGGGGGTCTCGCACGGTCGACAAACACGATACAAAGTTAAATGATTAGATGTGACATTCGAATGTTACGATATGCCCGTCATACATCTGTATTTAGATTCAGTTAATTTTCCTAGTTTTACTACTTTTCATATAAGTTTTTCAATCAGGGATCCTATCCTTTCATTTTTTTACGAAATAATTTAAAAGGAACTAAAAAGCCAGCAAAAAAATTCCGAACAAAAACTAACAATAAGATATATATCTAAACAAAATTAAAATTGAACGAAAAAAACAAACACAATTTCTAAACAAAAGTACACAGTAGTATAACGTACCAAAAACGAAAAAGCAGAAAAAGCATGGTTAAAACATCAATCCTACTAAGCAGTACTCGAGAAAGTTAAACAGCTCCTGCTCCGCTGCGGGATCACCCGGATGTTATTACAGAGGAATTATCGGTTTTTTTTTTTTCTTTGCTCTTCTAAATTTTTGTTTGGTAGTGTTCTAGGAATATACTACTGTTAGGTAATAGCAGCGATGAATTAAAAAGTAATTTTATTGGAATCGGTGTGTAGATTTCAATATACTTGTGTAAGAAACGATAAGTAAAATTCACGCATGAAATAAAAGTGACGAATGAAGCAAATGAAGCTAAAGCAAGCGGAGCAAATATTATTGCACTTGACGATAACCAATCTCTTAACTCCTTCATCATTAATAATTATTTATTTGAAAATGCAAATATGTAAAACAGATTATATAAAAATAGGAAAATGTGGTATGATTGCCAATGAGACAACTCTCCACCAGAGACCAAATGATGTAGAAGTTAGCAACTATAGGTCACCGAACGACCTTTAACAATGTTTAATTCGCATTCCTGCATGTCAGCAAGTTTGTTTAAATTTAGCTACCAATATTTAACTAGATGCATTAATTTCTCAGTTTAAAAAACAAATGCACTCGCTTCTTTTTTTTTATTTTTTCGAAATATTGATGTTCATTAGAAAATAGTAACCGAACTTCTGACGTTCTTTGATACATCAATAATAAATCTAAAATAATTAAAATGTCTTTTGTCCATTTATTTTGTGGGATTCGCATATTTCTTGTTTACTGTTGAAATACGTGTGTCGTCTTCACTTTTGCATTTGGATTTTCAAGATTTACTCTGAAATAGTAAGATAAACTTACCAATGGCAAGAGACATAATCGATAGAGCATAGCTGAGAATTAACAATACTGCACCAATAGCTACAAAATAAAAATAAAACAATTCACTTTCTTTCTATGACCGGCTTATTTAAAATTTGTTGTGATTTGCTTTTCCAATTGATTTATAACTAGCATTTGGAATTAATGATTCTGTCAAATAAAATAGGAATCGTCCGATATTGACATGTGGTAACAACTGTATTGTTAACAAAATTAAGTCTTGGATTAAAAAAGTGAGTACGAAATAAGACAGAAGAGCAGTTCAAAGATTTGTCATCCCGTCACTTGCAACACACGATTCAAACGTCTTGATTGATTTTATTCGCGTCATTTGCCAAAAATAAACACGAAACATTTAATACATCAAATGATCCTGTATTGTACAATTCAATTTCGTAAAGGAGTTATCTCCTGTGTTTAAAACCATATCAAGTGTTAGGAAGCAATTAAAGATAATCGTACGAAACTTATTTTTTTGCGCTACTCCACGAATGTCTTTAACACGACATATGAGAAGTATTGCCTATTGAACAATTGTCACAAAAATCAACGTTTAGAATATGAGAAAACGGTAGTTATAATGGTGACATCGTTGATAAGTCACTTAATCCTGGATAACAATGCAAATCTAATATTAACCTATTTTACCTGATTTGCTAACAGTTGATTCAATTCGACCAATATAATGAAGTAAATCTTCTTCCTCAAGGAATGCTTCCGATGTGATTTGGCATATCCAGACACAACATTTTCTTGATTTTGCTGAAAAAGAACAATCATTCAGAGAAATAATTGTATTATTGTTTTTTCCTAGCGAAATGTGCCATATGAACAATGGGGATGAAAGCAATGTCGGAAAATAGAAATAATGATGTAATAAGTACTATATATATATATAGTATTCGACTTGCTATTATACAATTTGTATTTATCAAGTCCTATACAAGCAATAACAACACAGATTGTATGTATTGGTCCTCTTCTACCTAAGTTAGTATCAGTCATGCTCAGTATCACTTATAATCTGCACGATAAAAGGAGAGGGGGTGATAAGTTATTATCTGGTCCCTGAATTTGTAAAAATAATAAAATTCTACATCTCTTTTAAAACTATGTGAAAATACATCAATAAAAGAGGGACGAAAGATACCAGAGGGACAGTCAAACTCATAGATCGAAAACAAACTGACAACGCCATGGCCAAAAATAAAAAGACAAACAGACAAACAATAGTACAGATGACACAACATAGAAAACTAAAGACTAAGCAACACGAACCCCACCAAAAACTGGGGGTGATCTCAGGTGCTCCGGAAGGGTAAGCAGATCCTGCTCCACATGTGGCACCCGTCGTGTTGCTTATGTTATTACAAATCCGGTAAATAGTCTAATTCGGTAAGTCACATTCGTGAAAAGGGAAGGGGATTGTAGTTACGACATAAGGAACATATCCGACATCATCTGTGAAACGGTTATTCCATAACGGTCAACCAACTCGTAATGGCGTCCGTAAAATTTACGAAGGGATGATTTCAACTTTACCATTTGGAACTCTTGGTTTAATAGCTTCCTTGTGAGCAGCAATCCTCTATCAAGGAAATCATGATAGGAAACACAAGCCCGGGAATATCGTATCAATTGGGAGATATATACTCCGTATGCAGGCGCTGCTGGAATGTGGCTACATAGAAATGGAAAGTTCACAATTGGGAAGCTGAAAGCATCTCTTTTGTCGTAAAGTTTTGTTTTCAACCGACCCTCATTGTCAATTTCTAGATGTAAGTCAAGATATGAGACAGACTTAACTGTATCTGTAGTATCCTTTATCTCTAGTTCGATGGGATAGATTCGTTCAACATAGTCACCAAATTTTGTATTATTTAGTGAGAGAACATCATCTATATAGCGGAATGTAGAGTTAAAGGATATTGCTAACTTCCTATCTTTCTTCCTAAGAAGTTCCTGTATGAAGTCAGCCTCATAATAATAAAGAAACAAGTCGGCAAGAAGAGGGGCACAATTGGTTCCCATTGGAATTCCGACAGTCTGTTGAAAAACACGTCCTCCAAACGTAACAAATATGTTGTCAATCAAGAAATCAAGCATCTTGATAATGTCAGTTTCAGAGAATTTTCTGTTTGAATCAGAGTGATTCTTTACAAAGTAGGATTTATCCCTCCCCAAGACAAGATACTTGTATCCACGTTCGCCATTTTTTTTAATGAAACAAAGTAATACCAACTCTTTCAATTTGTCTTTTAGTTTGGAATGGGGAATACTTGTGTAAAGTGTAGAAAAGTCAAATGTGTTAATGCTATTGCAAGATGAGAGAGTCTTAGATTGTATGTACTCTAAAAGATCTTTGGAATTTTTTAGCATCCACATCTGATTCACGCCACCTCTAGAATAGGCAGTTTCACAATAAATTTGGAGCCCGGCTTTGATTGCTGATAAAATAAATGTTAATAGTTTAGAAAGAGGTTTCGTGGAGCACTTGGAAGACCCAGCAATATACCGTTGTTTGTAAGGACACTTGTGTAGTTTAGGTATCCAATACAGTGATGGAAGATCCAGTTCTTCATCTTTGGTTGAAATTCCAAAGGAACATAGAACAGACCTATGATTATCCAGGATTTCCTCTTTGGTAAGTGTCGTGAGGGTATATGTTGAGTTTCCAAGTGAATTGTCAATACCTAATTCATTTATCAAGCAGTTTATGTAATGATATTTACACGCAAAAACGATGTTGTTTGGGGCTTTATCTGCGGGGACAACAACATCTTTGTCATGGAGGTAGGACAAGTGTTTTTCAACATTTGGGTCTTTAAAAATTGATGTAGCGTGGGTATTTATATGCCCATTTAGTTTCTTAATTCGGATTTGTATCAACGACCTCACAGCCTTTATCCATTCGAAAAGAGTATCTACGTCTTCTTTCTCGCGTTTAGCCCATTGCCTGGCATAATCCTCGACTGAATCCATCAGTATTTTGAAGTTGTATTTCCAATTGATGGATTTAGGCTCACGATATTTCGGACCTTTGGATAACAAATTTCGCAGGGAAGTGTTATTGACAATGTTGAGGTCTCCGGTAATAACGTGGCCAGCCGGATTAAATGTAAATTGGGAACTAGCACAGGTGCAATCAGGAGGTTTAGACTTGAAGTCGTCAATGTTGAGATCCTGCAAAACGTGTTTGTAATTGAAATTTTAGTTGCAATTGGTTTGGTATAGGTATAAGAAATTATTGCTTCAGACTGATCTTTAAAATAAGGAGGTATTTTCGACTGAACTAATTTATGATGAAGGATATTACCTAAGTTGACGCCATCGAGACCCTTGTTGGCAAAGGAAAGTTTAAGAAAAGATCTTTTCTCTTTTTCATCTTTTCCAATGCGAACTGGTTTGAAAAGTCTGTGACTTGCAATATCCGAAATAATAGCTGTAAGTTTGTATTGGTTTGAATGAGGGTTTGTAACAGTGGTTCCCAAACATAAATTGAACAGAGAATGAAGTTTTAAAAGGGGTAATGAATACAGTTTCGTGCGAATGTGATGAATACCTAACGGCTTTTGTATAAATGGCAGCAAGTCATTAATAGAGACATCATGCAAAGTAGGTGATGTATAATGACGATGACCATGACTGCGTCTACGTCGAGGAGTAGAGTTGAAAATATTCATCACATTCACCGAGCTACAGGAAGGACTAGATAGAATACCTATACCATCAATTTTGTCATTGCAACCATATGGTGACGCAGTTCCCATTTGTCGAATCCAGTAGTCCTCTTTTTGTCTACGGAGAGGCGTTGCAAGTTGAGGATTGTTAGTCTTGTGGTATATTTTTTCGATTATAAAACTGTCATAGAAACGATGGAATGATCAGGCTGATTAAAATGCTGGTACAGAATGTCGTTTGCATTGAGATTGATATCTGATCTACGGCCGCACATACGTTTGTTTAGCCTTCCTTTCGTTTCACCGACGTAAACCAATCCACAAAGGTTACACTCTAATCCGTAGACGACATTTATAGATTTACAATTCAGATCATCGTAACTTCTAGTAAGGTAAGACTTTTTAGGTGAATTGAGCGTCTGTTATTAAAATTTCACAAGTTTCGCAGCCATTAGTTCCACATTTCGAAATGAGACAGTGTTGTTCAGAGTCATCAAAATCCAAAATGTTTTAAGGAGAACTGAACATGGCTGTGTGTGTGTACTATTGCTATTGTCACTAGTATGATGATCTGACTGAGTCATGTTTGGGATATTTGTCATGTCTGGTGATGAGGGGACACCTGCCTTATCAGACGACACCGTGTCCATGGTGACGTGTTTCGGACCTTTTTATACTGGGCGACGATTAAGATGAGAAAATTATAAAATGAGGGATTTTCGGCGGTTTGTTAAGTTTTCCTTAAATGCAAGAAGATCTCAATCCTAAAATGTGCGAAATGAATTTTCAAACTTTAGTTTACAGATGTCTTAGGAAATTTTGTACATGTATATCTGAAGTATGCTAATTGATAGATTTGTAATACTTTGTGATTTTCATACCTTCTCATTCATCAATTCATAAGTACAATTGTTCCATTTTCTTTAAGCAATATTTTTTTGGTGAAAGGATAATTGACAGGTTGAAGAAACTTTCTTTTAATTGTTCATCTTCCGTAAGATTGAAACCAGTTCATAAAACTGCTAGAACAAAATTCCAACAAAGCTTATGCATGATGATACCAATAAACTCATCATAGATACCAGGCTTAAAATTGTGTAAGCCAGACGCGCGTTTTGTCTACAAAAGACTCATCAGTGACGCTCGAATAAAAAAAGTTTAAAAGGCCAAATGTATTAATAAAAGTATCATTAATTTTATTGTAGCCGAATTTGATTATGTTATTAAAAATATCAAATTGATAGTATTTTTTAGATACATATATATTTATTCATAATGCTTATTTTAACAATTTAATCATTTTTTTATCTAATTATTATAGTATTACTGATTTATTGATTGATAGCGAAGTCAATGACACAGTTGTTTTTAAAACGTATTAATCTTTTTATTTACTTTAGCTTTATCATGTCCCATAAGAGCCATTGTTCGGATTTTCTTTTATATGTTAACAACTGCATATACATGTAAGAAGAATACTTTATTCCATATTAATTAACCTACAATGGCCAACACGAAATGAAAAATAAAACAAAAACAAAAAACGAAAAACGAAAAAAACAAAGAAAAAATTCACCGATTAATTGAGTAACAAAAATACACACATTTATATAAATATTAATAATCAATAATTAACAAATTGTAATAGTATAATACCACACAAGGTCACGATTTATGATCATAACAACTTTCAAAGTGTTTTATTAATTATAGATATTATAGAATTGTCATGGACAGCAGTAATAATATTGCAACCAGTAAAACTCCTGTATCTAAATGCCATCGAAATCATTCCCCCCCCCCCCCCCCCCCCCCAAACCACACACTTATAGACAAAACGGTTGAATGGTGTATGAACTGTGCTGTACAAGAGAAAACACTAGTTAACCGTTTTCCACAACTAACACGTTCGAGATAGTTATTTCTTTACCTTTAAAGCCACTTTCCTTAGTGTCAGTCTTATTGGTACAATTATCCTTTGTTCCACCCATTTGTAAATTCAGTCCATTTTACATTAAGACCTTCTTAATTTTCACTTGTCTTTCTCTTGACATTTTTGTGTAAACCGTGTTAATAGAATAT